ACTTGGTTGGTTTGTTATTCTAAAATTATTTAGGAACATCTTGGTTTTTTCATTATTTTTTGTCATAATAAATCACTTTATTGCCTTGAAAAAAAAAAAGAATTTAATCATGGTTTAAGGACTTTTTTTATATTTCTTTTTTTTTTTTGTTATAGACTATTATCTTTTGAATCAAATTTTCAAGAGCTTGCCTACATGAGCTTATCCATAATTTTGCTTTGGTTTTTTCATAATAATTTCTTTATTTTTGATTTTATCAGCTTCATTATTTTTAGATAGCGTGTGCAGGATGGTGAAAACCATTTTTTCATTGTATCATTCGATTCATCTTAATCTCTTTTTTCTCCTCTCGCACATATGGTCAACAAATATCTGGTGAAACACCAACAATTTTTTTTTTCTTTTTTCTTCTCCTAGCAATCTATAGCTAGCCCTTTAAATTTGCAGATTGCCCTTCAAGTTATTTTTTGTCCTTCTTTTTTTATTTTATTTTAATTAATTTTTCATTTTTTTTATTTTCCATTTCATCCTCCTTCAATTTTAAAATTGCAGATTAGCCCTTCAAGTTATTTTTCTTTTTTATTTTATTCCTTCTTTTTTATTCCTTTTTGTTTTATTTTAATTAATTTTTCATTTTTTTATTTTCAATTTCATCCTCCTTCAATTTTAAAATTGCAGATTAGCCCTTCAAGTTATTTTTCTTTTTGATTTTATTCCTCCTTTTTTATTCCTTTTTGTTTTATTTTAATTAATTTTTTAAATTTTATTTTATTTTCAACTTCATCCTCCTTCAATTTTTTACTTTTTAATTTTAATTATTTTAATTTTTTATTTATTTAAATAATTGTTGAATTTGTTTTCTTACTTGTATATCACAAGGATGATTATTCCACTAACATACAATCATCTTCTGATCATACATGGCGTCAACATCATATCTGGTGAATTCCCTTGATTGAAATTCGCGTACCTATCATGTAGGTTAAGGCCTAAAAATTGAATAAAGCATAAGCCAGTTGTGTGGTCAAAGTTGATGCTCTAGTGTAAGACAGAGAATTGATCCTCTTTCATATTGAAATTGGATAAACTTGACAACCACAAATACAAGTGGAACACTTCAAGACACTAACTTGAAAAAAATTAATATAAGCACAAGGATAATCAGCGTTCTTCATGTAAAATACTAAAACACCTGCACATTGACATTCTTTAATATGCTCTTTTCCCTAGCATTTGCGATCCAAACTTGGGGTATGGAACTGTATCCTAATAAATAGTTCCAAGAGGCCTTATTGAATTTTCACAGACTCTTCCGCTTGTTTTGGGATTGGAAGGTGACCCTTTTCCTGCAAGCTCTTGACAGTTTCATATAGGCACTGCTTTACTGGGGTGAATTCGAAGCCCAGGTCTCTGAGCTTCTGGTTTGAGAACTTGTAAGGTTTTTTTCTTGGGTTCTTCTCATCTGAGCACCTGCAAATACATTACAAAACTGTTTCTCATGACCTAGCAAGTAGCAACCCGACTAGGAATATTCCTTCCACTTGTCTAATCTTTGAGCAAATCACATTTAGAGAGATGAATTTAGCATATAATTGTATGAGATGAAGGAGCAGGGCCCAATACTCTTCCAATAATTTTGTGCAGTATCCAATCATAACTTGGGTTGGTAGATGCGCATTTTGGTCCGAATATGACAGGACAATGGGGTTGGTGAGGACCCTGTTGCTCCGCTTGTTTGATGTGGCTTTCCAAATTTATTGATGATTAAAGGCCTTCTTTATACCATAGGAGAAAGGATTATTCATGATTTTTTGTTAAGATTAACACAAGTCAGAGCTGGTACATCAACCGCCCCACACCACAATTTCATCCTTTGGGTCATTCAAAAGCAGGATCATATTTATTTGTTTTGCCATTTTCAGATGCCATTCCCAGCTTTTCTTTCAATTTTGATGGTAGTTTTTTTGAGTGACTTGAATTTATAAAACGTGATTTAAAAACAAATTCATACCTAGAAAAAAAGGACAAAAAGATGGTGGAGGAGTAGATAAGTGCACGAATCATTAGTGCATATTACTCCATGAAATTCTTCAAAATAATAGTTACTTACTTGGTAGGGATGGGATACTCAGGGAAGAACTTTGCAAGGATTTCCACCACCTCTCCACGGTGGAGAACGCTCTCAGAGCAAAGGTAACGGCCGGAGGCGGAAGGCGTCTCAAAGACTAAAATGTGGGCTAGCGCCACATCCCTAACATGCACATAAGCTTGAACAGAGTTAGTATATGTCTTGGCTGAGCCGGTGAGGTACTTGAGGATGTGAATGATGCTAGCATTGACAGTGGGCTGCAACAATGGTCCAAGCACCAGCACTGGGTTAACCACCACTAGGTCCACCCCTTTCTCCTTAGCCATATCCCATGCAGCTTGTTCTGCCACAGCCTTTCCATAGCAATACCAATTCTGCAATTCCATTTCATTTTAATCCATTACTCTCAGGTTAGGTATGAATCGAATCCATGGAAAGCTACCAGAACGGGGTTAGATAAGACGTGACTCGTTGACTTTTTTGTTAAGTGAATTTTCAATTATAATAAGGCAACTTAACAAGAACGGGTTAGCCATACCTACCAAATGTCTAAGAAAGACGCATGAAAATTCTGACATCTCAATTGCACAGAATTTATTGGTTCAGGTGTTAGCTAGGAAATATGACCAGTCGAAAAGAAGGAAAAATTAGCATTTAATTAATTAGATACCTTTGTGTTCTTGCAGAATTCAAGATCACTCCAGCAAGACTCATCAATAACAACATCTGGGCCCTTACTGGGATCCATGTACACAGCACCAATTGATGAAGTGAACACCACTCGTCGGACTTTGGCCTCAGCCGCCGCAATGATCACATTTTTGGTCCCGTTCACTGCTGGCTCCACCATTTCTTCCTTCAATTATTATCAACAGACGCATCTCGTCAAAACCACCACCATTAATTAACATGTAATATTTTTATTAATTTCGAGTGACCCTTCTATAATTAGAAATTTCACTGCCAAACAAAGTTTTAGGTGGGGTGGGCCCCAATGGATCCCTCCACCCACCAACTACGGGGTGAATTTGTTGGTGTAGAACGGTCAAGCCTAACGCGAGTTAGTGACATTTGTGCTAAAATTAGCTGTATGAGTGTTTTTTTATTTTCTTTTCTTGATATGCTCAGATCCAAATCTTTTTATGACTGGAAAACAAAGGGAAAGAGGAAGCATACCGGATCATCTGTGACAGGAGAAGCAGTGTGGAAAACACCATCACACCCTTGAATAGCCTCTTTAAGAGACTCATAATCAAGGAGATCAGCTTTGCATAAAGTTAATCTTTCTTGAGCTCCTTCAAGCTCCCTCAAATGAGAATTCTTGGGATCAGCTGTATATATTTATATATAAAAACAGAAAAACAAACCATAAACATTACTACTACCATTGAATTAATTAAACAACACAATCTTTAAAAAAAAAAGATTGCTTAAATACCATTAACTAACCTGGGTTCCTCGCAGTTCCTCTAACAGTGTAACCTTTATCTAAAAGAAGTTTAACCATCCAAGAAGCAATGAAACCACCAGCCCCGGTGACACAGATAGTTTGGCCTTGGCCTGAAAGTGATGAAGCATCAACAGGCATATTGTTATATTTAGATAAATGTAATTATATGTATACGAGTTTGGTGACTGGGAAAGTGGAGAAAAGACAGAGAGAAAGAGGAGAGGAGATGTGTTTTCTTCTTATCTAGGCTTAATAGTGGATGTGACAAGGAAAGACATGGTAGAGGGGATGTATTTATAAGGTTAGAAGTTACCACCCTCACCTACTACTGGTAAATAGTCGCCTCTGGGAGAGAGGAAAGAGATTCTCTCTTTGTTTTTCTTTTTCTAGTTTTTTCTCTTATTATTATTATTAAGGTTTGTGAAGCTTGAGTCTTGGTAATGTGAATCGTCAACACAACGTCACCATGTGCTTTGCCATTGCCCTCTCTTCTTTGAAGGTCTATGATGACATGGCATTGCTTCTCGCCCCACCTTCATTTTGAGTGTGGATTGGATTAAAAGAATTGACGAATAAATCAATGCCCAAGCATTAATTAATTAATTAACACTCTAAACTAACAAAGAACCTGGTGACAAAAAATGTGAAAGAGAGGATGTTAGGATTCCTGTTGTGTGGGCTCAAGCATGGTGTGAGAGCTTGCTCACATTTTTAAGATGTTTTTCGATTATTACTTTTTTTTTTATTTTGGATTCATTTTAAAGAATTTTTTAGATTGATTTTATTTTGATTTAATCATTATCCTAAATTTTTATGGTATTAATCTAGAAACACTTATAAAATACTTAGTTAATGAGTTCATCAAAAAAATATTTTTTTACAAAGAGGAGAGATTGAAATGTTTATATATTTTAAAAATATTTTTTAAAAAAAAATATTTTTTTAATATTTTTAAATTATTTTAATATATTAATATTAAAAATAATTTTTAAAAAATAAAAAACTTCTTTAATATAAAAATTTTTAAAAAATAAAAAACTTCTTTAAAATAAAATAAAAAAAAACTATTTAAAAAACAACTATATGTACTACAGAGCACGTCAGCAAGGGTACGAACTATTTTAGAAGAAATTTCAAGTATGTAGAAGGGAAGATGAGTACCCATAGTTCTAATTAAGAAATTTCCTTCACCAGATATGTTGCTTCTTCTTTTTCTTCCCTTCTACGTCGGCGGTGAGCTGCACTGCCACTTATGAGAAGAGATCAAGCTGCCACAAGGATCTAGGCTTGCTTTATCTTTTCTTTATTCATGGTTTTTTCTGTTGCTCCTGCTGCCATGCTACTAAGCATGGAAAAAAAGACAAGTCAAGGTGGTTGATGGTGTTTAGGATGACTTTTTAGGGCTGAGGAGGAGTGGAGGTTGCTGGGTCGTTTCGGTTCTATTCGGATTTAGTGAGGGAGGCAACGACAGCTAACCCGACGGAACTGTTGTTGCCGACGTGCTAGAGAGGTTCTTGTCCATGTACGAGGCTTGTGGTGGTTGGAGGTGCTGTGGTGGTGAGCAGACAGTGATAAGAGATATGAGAGAGTGGAGCTATTATGTTTTTTTTTTTTTTTTAACATGTATATGTTTTCTCTTCTTTATTTCTTATTATTGATTATCCCATCTAATTCTAAAACCTTCCACACTTTATCTTTTAGTTTCTTTTTAATTATTTATATTTTTATCCTTATCTTTTTATCTTTAAGTTGGAGAAAGGGTTGGAAATGTTCAAATTAGTTCTTCACCACTTCCTTAATTATTAGTGTGCTCACTATACTTTTTTTTTTTATTTCTTCAAGTTTCTTTTTTTTTTTCAACACTTCAATTTTTAAAAATTCACTAACATGGAAATTGTAAGCAAAATGGCTAAAAATCATGAAATTGCTAAAATTTGACCGAATTACATTGGAAATATCCTTTCTAGACTTTTTTGCATGACAATCTCGTTGAATCACCATTAATATATAACTTCTCTAACGTTCCAAGAACCCATACAAATCTTCAAGATTTTTGGATTTTTTTGGAAAATAAATTCCTTAAAAGCCTCTTTTAGTCGTCATTCGTAATCTGCAATGAATTTAGATTCGAGATTTCTATAATTTTGAGACTGATTTTCTATATTTTTTTAATATAAATTATTTGTTTATATTTATTGTTGATTTGCATTAATATTTTTCTAGGATAAAAGTGTCTAAGAGAAGATTTGTGACATTTTATTTCAAGTCAAGCTTGAGAAACCTTACACGTATCCTTTCATGATTTCTGAGGTTTTCCTAAACAAGAATATATATTTAGATGAAATAAAAAATGCATCATGGAAAAATTACAGACATTTTACCAATATATAACACAATATATTGTCAAAAGCTTCCATTCGAAACTTAATCCGCAACATATGTTTTATTAATTGCATTAATAAAACATATTATTATTATTATTTACGTTAACTCCCACACAACTTTCATTAAAATCCAGCCCCTGCTAGATCAGATCTGGAATTGTCTGGATCCTTAGATTAGGCTGATTAAATTATTATTTGTGAGCATCTACCAAACAAATATATTAATTTATTGCGAAAGTCAAAGCGCGATTAGTGATAATCAAGAGACAAGAGATTAAGGAAAAAAAAAAACATTTCTAGTTCCAATTTTCTTACTTGCATTTTCTAACACATGTAAATTTATTATCTCTTTGAAGTGGTTGTCCACTCATGGGTCACGTCCAGAGTCTGTAAGTAGGTTCTCTCTCCTTTTCTTTTCTTTTTTTTATATTTTGATCTTTTTTTTTATTTGGTTGCTACTAAATTTCATGAGGGTTTATTTGTATCATTATATAAATAGATAAATAAGAATTATTAAATAAAATAAAATTTATTATTTAAATTATAGGTTTGTGGATTAAATTGGGAAATTCAGGTCAAAAAAATATGCTACTAACTTAATATTAAAAACAAATATTATCTTAAAAAAATTAAAAACAAACTAATTTTTTATCTATCATTTAAATTATCTTTGAACTTATTGAATTAATTAATTCATATTATACCAAATATAAAAATTTTAAAGTTGACTGTGTAGCTAAATTTAATAATGATGTAAAAAAGAAATTCCCACAACCTAGAAATTCTTTTTACTTTATAAAATAAATTACATCCAGCATGTAGCGCAGCATTTCCTGGTAAACTAGTCGTATAATCAAATTCAATAAGCCACCACCGAACCTCGGACCACAACTTCAAGAGTGCCGCATACAAATTGGATGAAGTCTAATGAAGATTTTGGCTAGTAATAACTGAACTAATCATCCATAAATTTACCCTGTTCAAGAATGCTCACCAATAACGTTTAGGGTTTGGTCTCCTATGGCGTCTCCGAATCAACGTTGAAGCCTAGCTAACAACTAAACACAGGTGTTAAAGTCAATAAAAATGAGGGTAGCGCACAGTGTATAATCCAATTGTTGTTTGTTCTTTTTTCAAATTAACACGTTTTGTGTCCAAACTAGTTGTATTTCTAGTAATTTTACTGATTTTAAAATTGATAATTATATAAATTTTTATTAATTTTATAATACATGTAACTCGAATAAGTAATTTTTAAAATATAATTTTTGATTAATATCTTTTTTCCTTGTATAGAGTAAACAAAGACCCGCCCATGATTCAATTACTTCAATAATCTTTTTAGATGGCGTCTTTTAACAATCTCCAACGTCTACTTCACTTCGTTTCCCGCTGACTACCATTTTTTTTATGTGTATTTAGACCAGCTTTCAGCAATGGACTGCTTGATTTTATTCTTACACGGCTGCACCAACCGCAGTGAAGAACAATGGTAGGTGAAAGCCCATCACAGCTGCAAAACAATCAATGCTACGTTTTTTTTTTTTTTTTTTCAGCCGGCAACTTACCCTTATAAACTCAAGAATGCAACGAAACTTTTCCATAAAAGAAAGTTTTTTATCCTTTTCACCCGAATTAATTGGCTTCAGGTGCACTGTCTGGATCCCAATTAATTGGGGGTGCTGCGTGTGTCAACAACCATTGTTCACCCATTGTTAAGCATCTATTGTCGAGTTCGGCACTCATAAAACCTAGACCTAATTTAGCATCCCCAGCAAATACGGAGGTGGGGTGGGGTTATTATTACCCAATTTTTTTTTATTTTTTATTTTTTATTTTATATTAGGCATGCTCCCTAATAGTTACTTACATGGGCACACATATGTTGCCCAACATTTCTTAGAAATTTTTTTAATACTCCATATGGGATTTTTAGTACCTTTTCAGCATCCTTAGTAGATGTTTTAGTATTTTATATTAATTTAATATGTATTATTTTTTAATGAAATATAATTTAAAATATCACAAGATAAAATAACTCTTTAATTTCTTTTTTCTCCAAAAAAATAAAATTTATAGATTATAAATACTTTATGAATCTTTTAAATTTTTAGTTTATAATCTTTTTATTCTTATCATTTTCTATATATATATATTTTTAAAATCTATTTTTTAAAAATATTATTATATTTTTTCTCTTTACAAAATTATTACCTTACAGCATGTAAAAGTTTCTACATTTATAAAATAAAATTTTGTTGCATATATGAACTATTTTGGCTTCCCAACATAACTAGGTTTTAGCTGCCAGCTATCGGAATGAGTTAGCACCTATTATTGAGTCCATCACCCACAAAGCCTAGACCTAATGCAGCAACCCCTAATTAACTGGGGTTGAGGTAGGGTCATTATTGGATTCAGGTAAAATGCTCAGTCATAATTATTTTTTGGTGCTGGCATGCACCTTAGTATCTCTATGACATGCATATTGAGCCAAATAGTCCTCTGAAATTTTTTCAGAGCTTCTTGATATTTTTTCAAGACTTCTGCATATATTTTTTAATATTTTATATTTATTATGTTTTAGTGGAATAAAACTCAAAATATTACATGTTAAAATAACTTTTCAATCCCTGCTCTGTATAAAAGTACAAAAATTATAAATTATAAATACTTTATAAATCTTTTAAATTTCAGGTTTATATTTTTTTTATTTTTAATATTTTTTTAACATGTATATTTTTGGAATCTATTTTTTTAAAATATCAATATATATTTTTCTCTAAATCATTAACTTAAAGCATGTAAGAGTTTATGCATCCATCAAATAAAATCTTTTATAAATACCAACTATTTTAACTTACCTA